TTCCTCTCTGTAAAAAAATCAATAAAATATATTATAAAAAATAAAGTATTGTTAGCCTGATGTGTGAGCCCCTCGGGGAGGCCAGGAATCCTGTCCTAAGTGCTCAGAGTGAACATACCCTAAGATTTCACAAGAAGAGAGGCCAAGGGCCTCCCAAGTTAGAGGGCTCAGCGTGGTGCCAACACACAAACAAGCCCAGGCATAGCTTCCCGCTGGCCAAAGCCCTGCACTGACCTACCCACAATGGCCAACATCTAAATGTTGTCTTTCCTCCACGACAAAACAAAGTCAAACCAACAGAATAATTTTTTTAATTGCTAAGCAAACAAACAAAAACTTCAACAACCCCAGACTACCTCCATCAAACCCCATAATCAAAGATGTCCTCGTTCCTGACCTCCAAACTACTCCTTGCCTTTCAAGTATTCCATTGCCTAGCGATTCCGGGACTTAAAAGCCTACAAAAATTAACGGGGGGGGGGGGGGGGGGGGGGAAGAATAGGAGAAAAGTATTCAAAACACTAGAGAATTTCCTGACCTGAGCTTCCACATGCACTTAAAATGCCAGCAGCCACATTTGGGTGGGGTGGGGGGAAGGGTATTACAATTCTGCAAAGAATTGTGCATATCAGAAGTACTAATAGATCTTACAAAGTTTCTTTCTTTTTAATTTATGAGCCTGGAAAATCTTTCAGGTGTTTACAATTTTTACTAGGGATTCCTTGGTTTCATAGTCATTTTTTTTTTTCTTTAAAAGGCTTACATTATATACGGTAGCCAATGGTTTTGCTTTCGAAGGTTCCAGTAACCACAGGTCAACCTCAGTCTAAAAATTTTAAATGGAAAATTTCAGAAATCAGCAAATTCATAAGTTTAACATTTTACACGGTTATGAGCAGTGTGATAAAATCTCACGCCATCCCACTCCATCTGGCCCAGGACATGACCCGCCCCTTCATCCAGAGTGTACACAACCTGCTCACTTGTCACTTAACTGGCTCGGTTATCAGACGGACTGTCCTGGTTGCTCAGTGCTTGTGCTCAGGTAACCCTTATTTTAATTTATAATGTCCCCAAAGGGATTTACATAACTTTTATCCATCTATCTATCTATCTTTCTATCTATCTATCTATCTATCTATCTATCTATCTTAAAAAGCTAATATGCAAAGTGTCTCCTCAGGAGTTTGACCAAGAGACTGGGAGTTTGATCACTCACTGTGATGTGCGCTGACAACCAGGGGGCAGCACAGAATGAAGGGAGGCCCCAGCTAGCAGCCGGAAGGCCCCCAATCTGTCCTGATCGCCAGCCAGGCCAAAGGATCCTACCCATGCATGAATTTCATGCACCGGGCCTCTAGGTATAGTATATGGTTATAGCTGTTCTGTTTTATCATTATTTATTGCTAATCTCTTACTGTGCCTAATTTATAAATTAACCTTTATCATAGAGATGTATATATAGGAAAATTCATAGTATACATAGGGTTCAGTACTGTCCGCAGTTTCAGGCATCCACTGGGAGGTAAGGAGGGAGTACTGTAGTACTTTATCATTTTCAGAGCACTTCCACAAAATGCTAAGTAAAAACAGCACTGGTACTGAGAGGCTGTACTTTTCAACAGAATTCTCACCAGCCAGACTGCCATCTAATTTCGATTAGCTCAGCCATTTCTCCCAGGCGTGGGGCCACACTCCTGCACCAAGGTGGACCAAGAAAAGGCAGATGCCTCCAGACGAACTGGCCAAGGCAGGCATTCTCAAGTCTAACCAACCCATAAAACCACTCACATTCCTGCATTCACGTGCTTTTCTTAAGGACGGCTCTTTAAAATATCATTGAAACTGAATGTCCTCCATTAACTTCCATGAAAAGACATATTTTTAAATGCTTTGATCTCCCTGTGCCCTTCCATACATTAGTATTTTCACCCTCCCTCTGCACAGAACCTAAAAGACCAAGACATCTGTGCACTTTAAAAAGAAGGGGAGGAGGGCCGAAACCCGTTTGGCTCAGTGGTAGAGCATCGGTCTGCGGACTGAAAGGTCCCAGGTTCGATTCCGGTCAGGGGCATGTACATTGGTTGCGGGCACATCCCTGGTGGGGGGTGTGCAGGAGGCAGCTGGTCGATGTTTCTCTCTCATCGACGTTTCTAGCTCTCTATCTTTCTCCCTTCCTCTCTGTAAAAAATCAATAAAATATATTTAAAAAAAAAAAAAAAGGGAGGGAATGGATTTCTAAGCCCAGCATCTTCTCCCCCTCCTAGCCACTCGCAGAGGTTACAAGGGCTTCCTTATCTTGAAAATGTCTCTCTCCAAAAAACTAAACACTCCCCCACCAACACCTCACCAGGGAGAGCAAGGGAGAGCAGAGCATCTTTAAAGCCTTCTGCTCTAGGCCCTACTCCTTTTCATTCTGGTCAAATAAGTGGCTTCCATTCCTTTACGCCTCTGTAAACAGTTCAAAGTTGTTCCCGTAAGTCCCATAGCGAGCAGTCCTACTAGAGGCACTATACTGCTCAGAGCAATGTGATGGGAAATAAATTTCATGTTGGTCTAGAGCAGTGGTTCCCAACCTTTTCGGGCCATGCCCCACCTATGCATCTCTAAAGTCCTGATGCCCCCTCATGTGAGATATAATTCTTATTATTCAAAAGTGAACTCCTATTCACGTGGAGAAAGCCTAAAAGGCCATTAACTTAACAAGCTTCAAAGAACATGGCACCCAGAAAGAGAAAAATAAAAGAATGAAAGGACAGTTGAAGTACTGAGGAAGAAATCACTAAGAAATTATTTAAATAATAATAATAATAATATGACTGATAAGGAAAAACAGCAAATGAAGTTTCAAAACATTTATTGTAGAGAACTGAAATGCATAAATATGTCACAATATATATGTATATACTGTAGATGTGCCCCTTAGAATCATAAGAAATGCAAAAAGTTCACTGTTAATAACTCATTTTTGAATTGCCCTCCTGTGGGGCTGTGCCCTACGCTGGAAATCACTGGTCTAGATTCTTCAAGAGTGTGCAATCTAGACAGACCCCTAATTGCTAACCTGGGTCTGAGAGCTTCCAGAACCCAGAAGTGGTGGGCGCCAGGAGTGCTGGGCAGTCAGGAGTAGGGGTGTCCAGGAGCAGTGGGCAGCCAGAGGAAATCTGTCAGTTTGGCAGGGCCACAAGCAGCAGTTTGAAAGCAGAAAACCATGATTGCTTAGTATTTCAAGTCCTGATTATTCTTTTCTCTCTCTCTTATTTTTCAGCTTAAAACAAAACAAAAACAAAATTTTTTTTAAATTATATTACACAGGGGCAGCTGAGTGAGGTCATTCTTGTCAAGCCCTGACTTTTTCACTTCCAGAAAAGCAAGGACATATTCTTTTTTTTTTTTTGAATCGTAGCTATTAATATTCCTCCATCCTGATTTTACTTGCTTATGGCAAATAACATTGTTTGGAGTAGTCAGAGGCATCTCTGGGTATCCTAAATGGCCCTCTACCACCACCACCATCCCTACTCCAACCCCCCTATGCCCCCAGGACTTTAGCAGCAGTACAAAAACTCACTCTCCTTCTTCCTACGCCTAGGAAGAAGGTCATGGGCAACCCTGTGGTCCGCACTGTATCACGATGGCAAGGGAGCTCAGGGCCCAGGCGCCCAAAATGCTACGGTAGTTTACACCACAAAGCCTCCGGAGGCTGCATGCAGAGGGCCCCAGTCCACCCAGGTGATCCTCATGCAAGCTGGGCATTTTCCAAAGCATTTGCCAACTGGAGACGGTAAACCAACACCAAAGCCACAAAAGCAAAAACAAAAAACAAAACAAAACAAAAACAAACCCTCGAACAAAAATGGAAAGGGGAACTCTTCCCTTCTACCCGTCAAGATACTAGAGAGCAAGGCGTGGCGAGGCCAGGGAGCCGCGGGCAGGCAAGAGGAGAGCCGGGAATCTCAGGCTGGGGCTCCGAGGGGTACACTGGGCATCCTCACTGCCAGCTCAGGCCAAGCGGCGGAGGCCCTCGCGGTGGGTGGGTGGGTGGGTGCGCGCAGGGGCTACCAGTCCAGCAGGGCTGACTCCTGGGCGCGCTAGGCCCCTGCCCAGGCGCAGGGCCTCGGCTCCACTCGGCTGTCATCCATCGGGCGGCGCGCCCGTCTTTCTCCCGCCACAAATGTCACAATCCCAGAAAGAAAGAAGAAAAAAAAAAAAGTTCATCTTGGAAAGTTTGGTCCCCCGCCTGCCTCCCCCTTAGAAACCAGATTCTTTTGGAAAGGCGGCATTCACAGCAAAGGGAGAGCTAGATGTAACTCCCTGGCTTCTGTCAAATAAACTGGGGAGAAGAACAAAGGAGGAGGAGAAGCTAACGCGATCCAAGCCTAAGGCGTCCGGGGCGCAACCCCTTCCCTCCTCTCCCCCATCCGCCAGGGCCGCCTCCCCCGCCGCCGGCAGGAAGGGTCCGGCCGGGAGCGCGCAGCCCGTCGGGCCGGCGGCGGGGGTGCGCGCCTTTGTCTCGCAGGGAGGGAAGCGGCCACTCGCCACCCCCTTTCCGCCTCCTCCCCGGGCAGTCCGGGGGCCCGGAGAGGGCAGCCATATGGCAGGGCCCCTCCGGGAAGGCCAGTCCCCGCGCCTGGGCGCGCCCGCACCCCGGGGTGCTGGGCCCCCCGCGGGCGGATACCCCTTCCCAGTGATCGAGGGGGCGCGCGGAGCCACAGGGCTCTGGGACCCAACCCGCCGGCACCGGGGGCCTGCAGGGTGGCGCGGAGAGACGGAGTTCTGCTCTTAAAAAAAAAAAAAAATATCTGGGTAAGAGAGCAGGATTCCAGCGGCGATCCCTCGGGCCCCTGGCACCGAATCGGCGGCCCGAGTCTCTCGGAGCCGAGGTCCCCCGCAGAGGGCACCCAGGCTGGAGCAGCAGGGGGTCGGGGAGCACTGGGTCCCTCTCGTGGGAGACCTGGAAGAGACGCGGAGGCGCATCCCGAGCAGCGGGGACTGGTTACCTTTCACCGCAGACTCGCAAGTTCCCCGGCGCAACTTTGCCCTCCGCATGGGGCGACCATGGATGGCCAGGCTCAGAGCCGCGGCGGGAGAAGGCGGCCGCCGGGCAGCGCGCGGGGCATGGCGTGGGGCTGCGCGGGGAAGCGGCGCCCGGCGATCGGCCCCATTCACACAGGAAGAAGGGAAATGCCAGGGCTTCACCTCCAGCCCCAACCCCGGCAGCCGCTGCTGGGTCCTAGAGCGGCCCGCGCGCTCCCGCGGGTCGGGGAGGGTCGTCCGGCCCCGTCACTGTAACCCTACACCCCACCCCGCCCGGCGCCCGGCCGCTGGGCCCTAGAGCCCGCCTACAAATCGGGATCCACAGTCCTTGGGTCCAGGAGCCTGCCTGCTGCCAAGGCCTGGAGCGCCTGCTGACATGTCTCCCAGAGTGAGGAAGGTCATAGCCGCCCTGTGCTGTCCCCCGCTGCGGCTTAATGAATGTCAGACCGGCCAGTGCCTCTTCCTTGACTTGCTCTCCCTTCCCACCAGATCAGGTTTCAAGTTACTTTTTTCTTTTCTTTTTTAAAAAAAATATATTTTATTGATTTTTTTACAGAGAGGAAGAGAGAGGGATAGAGTTAGAAACATCGATGAGAGAGAATCATCAATCAGCTAGCTGCCTCTTGCACAGCCCCCACTGGGGATATGCCCCGCAACCAAGGTACATGCCCTTGACAGGAATCGAACCTGGGACCTTTCAGTCCACAGGCCGACGCTCTGTCCACTGAGCCTAACCGGTTTTGGCGAGATCAGATTTCTTATCGGTCCCCTCAGTTCAGGCCTAGGTTCCCTTTAGGATTTTTTTTTCTTAAGTGGAATTTCCAGGTGAAAAAATGGCCACACACTTTTTTTTCCCTCTTTGCATGCCCCAGGCCCCAGGGCGTCTGTCACACGCTGAGATTGGACGATGTGCTTGCTACTAACAGATCTTACAGCCTTAGCTATGAAATGTCCTGGGAAAACTGGACTTCCCGTGGCCACAAACCCCAAGCCGTTATCTGCCCCAGTGAAGGCAAAAGACTGACTTGGGAGAATGTGGCCGTGTCTCTCCCACCTCTTATTAAACCAGGCCTTACTAAGTAACATTATTCACACATCCCATCGTATTCAATTATACAGGGCAGGCCTAAAGTGGAGGGTGCAGAGAGGATATTGCTCTGACAAGAGAAAGGTTAGGGGATGAGCTTTGGCCAGGCCAGAGTAATGAAGAATGGAAGAGTGACAAATGAAGAGGAGGAGGATGTGAAAGGCAAGTGGAAGATACAGAGGTGAGACACCTCTGTAGTTCTGGAAATTGCAGATGCCTTAGATATGACGGAACTGCTCCGAGGAGGATTTAGATGTATTGTAACAGATAATCTGGAAACCCTTCTCTGTTTGAAACTTAACCAAAGACTCCTTGATTAGGAAAAAACATCCCAACAAATATGTATTAAATACCTCCTAAGGACCAGGGTCTATACTATCAATCTACACGGGCATTTGGCTCAGTTAGTAAGCTATGGATCGGCCTGTTTGTCTGGATGTTATTAGCTTCATAACTTTCTCCTGTGAACTTATTAGTGATATGCACTAAACACACCATTTGTTCTATATAAAACACAAGAAACAGAGAGTAGGTATGAACTTGCCCAGGGAAAATGCACCTACACCAAATAGCTAAAGAGGAAGGTAGAGACATTGGTCCTGAGTGAAGCCGAGGTCAGATCCTGACAGAAATACGGAGTAGCTGTGAATATAAAGAACCTGGCATACAGCAGGTATTTAATAAATGATAAGCATCTTAATTAGTATTTGCCAGTATTAGTACAAAAACCTTGGGAGTATTGAAGGTCATACTTTTTGGTTGATTATCTCAGGGTTTCTCAGCCCTGGCACTATTGACATTTTGGGGCTGATAATTTTTTGTTGTGAAGGATTGATCTGGGCATTATAGGATGTTTAACAACATAGGTGCCAGTGGCAACACCCCACTGCAAACCAAGTTGTGGTAACTAATAACACCTCCACACATACTGTCAAATGTCTCTTATGGCACCAACTGCCCCTGGTAGAGATCTATTGAGTTAGTTGACTAACTGATGTTGCCTAGTTTACAGGCTCCCAAGCTTCTAACCATATTGATCATTCTCCTGAGTTGTTGGGTGAATCCAATTGCATACTAATAAGAAGCAGCCTAGGTTTCATTTATCCTGTAGAATATCACACTATAATAGTTTCTCCCTCATGAAGTGAGAGTAATGTGGTTGTGAGCTTGCTATCAAGGGATCGGATGACCCCACTATGCCAAGTATTGGTCAAATTATATAGTGAGATCATGTGCTCGGCTTTCAGTGCCAGACACTCCTCAACTGTCAGGTAGTCAGACGATGTTTAGTAGGATGGGACGAGATGGAGAAACCAGAACATATTAGGAAGATAACCAGCACGGAGAAGAGATGTTTAAGATACAATCTGATAGCCACCTTCAGAAAGGAAAGAAGAACGGATGAGCTTATTCTATATTCACTATATAACACACCAGAGCATTGTTTTCAAAGAGTAGTTGGCAACCCATTAGTGGAAATCATTGAACAGCATTTTAAATAAATAAAATAGACATATTAGAAAACAGATGCAGCCCATCTAATAAGGGTATAATTGCCATTCCACAAAACTTCAACGTTGGTTGTATTCGTATAAAAAATTGTATATGTGAGTCTAAATGTAAAATGTACCCTTATGTTGAATCACGATATTAAAAAAAAATGTTTTTAAAGGTCTAGAACACAAATATGGAGAACTGGGTTCAAGAATAGGAAGTCAGGGTTCAACTGCCGACACAGAAAGTGTTGTAAGAATGGTCACTGCAGATCTAGACCACGTTTTCTCAGGGGACTTCTCCACATACACACAACACTCCCTCGGGTGACGACCTGGCACAGGCTGAGTGACATGCATTAAGGAAGGAGGACCCTGGGTGTCCAGGGGATGAGAACGTCAAGATGCTCTGACTCTTCAAAATGGAGTAGATTAGACCTCAGCTTCATGTTACAAGAGAGAACAGGGAATGAAAACCTCCATATACAGATGCTGGAAGTCCGGCAGCCAGTCCAGAAGGACTGGCCCGTGGTACGTGTTGTATGAAATGGAACACACATCAAATCCCTGAAGTTGTCCAAGATTTCTGCTGCAAGAAGGGTTAATTTTTGCATCTATTTTCTAATGAGGTGATAAAATAAGACACCTGTGAGCAATCACATCTCACTGACATAAGCACCCGAATGGAATCCAATGGGGACTCCTAACAAAGCAAGCCAAACGCCATGCAAGGGCAGAGCAACCCAGACGCTGCTCACACACCGAGGGCTGCCAGATAATCCCTCAGAAGGACTTGAATTTCAGATAAGCAACAGAAGTTTTTAGTTTAGCCGAAACGGGTTTGGCTCAGTGGATAGAGCGTCGGTCTGCAGACTGAAGGGTCCCAGGTTCAATTCCAGTCAAGGCCATGTACATTGGTTGCGGGCACATCCCCATTGGGGGGGGTATGCAGGAGGCAGGTGGTTGATGTTTCTCTCTCATCGATGTTTCTAGCTCTCTATCCCTCTCCCTTTCTCTCTGTAAAAAGTCAATAAAATATATATTTTTTAAAAGTTTTTAGTTTAAGTATATCCCAAAAGTTGCAGGGGAAACATATATACTACAAACAATCATTGGCTTTTCACCTGAAATGCAGCTTTAACTGGTATGCTGCATTTTTGTTTGCTAATTCTGACAATACCTTCCTAGGCTAGGCTCTGTCCCTATACTGCGTGAGAGGGTTCCTCGGTCTCTCATGTGGTGAACAGTGTGGAATGGCAGCTCCCAGGAGCTGAGAGTAGTGCAAACAACAATGATGACCCTAATGGGGAGGAAGTGAAATTCACCTGCTTTCTCCCATTGAGCCCCACTTAGCCAGATGTAAGGTCCTTGTACTGATGGGACAGACTCCTTGAGCCGTGAGGACGTGCACAGCATTTCAGTTAGGAGTTAATGCGGTTACAGTCCACTGGGTAGCATTTCCATGTTACCCCCAGACTGGCCTGAGGCAGACGATTCAGTGTCATTCACTGGCACTCCATATTGAGCCTCAGGGACACGGCTCTTGAAAGGGGAGCTGCTGTGGCTGCAGCCGCCTGTTAAGGCAGACGACGCTGTTCATGACCCGGACCTCTGTTCTTCGGGTCTCACTGGGAAGATTGCTCTCCACCAGGAAGCCTGCCTGGCCTCCCCTGGACCTCCACGACTGAGTCCCATTCCTCTTCTCTGGGATCCCCTGCCTTCCTTGCATACTGCCCTTACAGCACTCACCCTAATCATCGCAACCCTCCACTGGGGCCGGAGGCGGCAGATGTCCAGCAAGGGCACAGTCTATAGTAAATAGGGGAATCTGGAATCCCTCTTTTGAGTTTGGAGGGAAATGGCTTCTAGAGCCAAAAGGAAAATATGTTTGTTTTTTTTAAGGATTGAATAGCTGAAACCTGTCTGGCTCAGTGGATAGAGCGTCGGTCTGCAGACTGAAAGGTCCCAGGTTCAATTCCGGTCAAGGGCATGTACCTTGGTTGCAGGCACATCCCCAGTAGTGGGTGTGCATGCAGGAGGCAGCTGGTCGATGTTTCTCTCTCATTGACATATCTAGCTCTCTATCTCTCTCCCTTCCTCTCTGTGGAAAATCAATGAAAAAATATATATATTTTTTTAAAAAGGATGGAATGATCTAAATTCTCTGGCTGGTCAGCAAAGAAGGGCCACAATAATGGACTTTTCTTTTTGGTCAACAGTAAGAAACAGCAAATCTTTGGGGACAGAAAGAAAGGAGCCCTGGCAGGTTGCAAGCCCCAGCAGTAGACTGTCATTCAGTCCCCTTCAATCCCAAGCTTTCCCTAGAGTCCATTTCAGATAAAGTTCCACACCCACAGGTCCTTTCTCTATTTTTTTAAGAATCTGGCCAGTGTGCTCAATGGTTAGAGCGTCGGGTTGCAGGTTTGATCCCT